CTGTAATCTGGTCTCTCTTCATCTGAGAATGACATTCTGATAAATGTCCTTTACTTCTCTCAGAAGCACTTCATTGAAATATTTGCACCTGGCATAGCTGTTTTATTTTGGGGTTTTTTTGAACCCTCTATGCTTCTCTAGAATCACTTTTCACCTTTCCACACACCCTACAAAACATTTGTTGCCTTAATTTATGAAAGATGAGTCACTCTAAACAGTCTCATCTGTGATACTGGAATTTGAATGAGAGAGAGAAGAGCAAGAGTGGGGTAAGCAGCTATTTGATGTCTGTCTTTTCACAGTAGCACAATAGCTAATTCCTAGGGCCTCTGACCTTTCAGTGTCCTGTAACAGAGTACTTGCATTAATCTGTTGCTTATCTGTCACCTACCACATTTGATATTTCCAGTCTCTGTTTTCAATTATCAGTCATTAGAGGCAGCGCTGAGTAATTTCAGGAGAAAATTCCTGGAACCTTTGACCTGTTTTGGTCAGATAACCACAAGTGTTCACTGTAGATAAACTATCATTTCATTATATTCAAAATGTAAATGAGTGTCGTTTGTAGTGTATCAGCTTACTGTAAACTTTATCACCTTGGAGTGATTAAAACTGACTGGTTTACTTAGTACTTATACAAAGAATTTAGAGTCAAACAGTGAAATTCATTGAGATTAGTGTAAATGGCCCTTTATACTTACACAGGTCCATTTTGCCTTAGAACATAGATTTAGTAGTTAAAAAGTGACATTAGTTTGATTGGTGAGGCTTCACTGTTTGTGAAGTCAGTTGAGATCCTGGGATGTTATGTTGTAAAACCAGTTTATTGTAACATGTCTTTCAGCATATCTTTGGTTTGTTACCCATTTGCCAAAGCAGCTTTCACTTTGTCTATGTGACACAGCCACACACCATCATCTTCAGGAAAAGTGAAGCACATATCAGTGTGGAGCTAATCACTAATGAAAGAGCAGATCTAATAGTCCCTCATACACTATGACCTAAACTCATTGCTAGCAGTTTTTAGATTTTTTTAAGCTCAGTCAACATGATCAGATATTTATAGCTGAATTTCTAAAATACTGATTACTTGTTATACATCTATATAAGTGCTTTCAGTGTTTTTTAGTTGTTATTTTTTCCCCTCATAAAAGAAATAGTTTTGTTAATAAAAATAGTGCATGATATTTTATTTTGGTGTAAAAGAAGACCTCTTTTCCAAAATTCCCTTTTTCCAGTAAATTTGACTTTTTTTCTTCTTAGAGTTGGATTTAGTGTTAATACAGTGTAAATGTTTCATCAGTTTGCCACATGGGTGGAAAATATCATTCTTTCCCATCTTACACACAGGTGTTTGTGATATTCCCCTGAGCCATGACTTGTCTGATGTAACTGTAGTGCTGCATATATTAATTTCAGGTGGTATAAAAATACCATTTTTAAATGTCAATGCTAAGAATCCTGACCAATGAGAGCCAAGGATTTTTTTTTTCTTTTTTGTAATCAGCATTGCCCGTAATAGTCTACTTATTTTTTACTTAGAAAAATTCTATTGCTCCGATGATTAAAAAATACTTACTGATTTTCTGGTCAACTGGTTTTTAGATGCTGTGATTTGTCTCACAGAAATGCATTTTGGCAGATGTACTGAGCAGGGCTGGAATGACATGAGAACATTCTGAAAGGACTGAATACTTAAAAATTTTAACCTATGTTTTTCAGGCTGCCAGTGTTGAAAAGCTCTTGCCTGTGAAATAAAAATATTTGAGAAATGGTGCCTCCCTGCACTTCATGCTATTTCAGCAGGACAAAGGACCTGACAGATGCCCTACTGAGCATTCACAGTCTTGCCTGACAAGGCATTTATTAGATTCAGAAGCGACCAAGATTTTTGTATTATTTTCAGTAATAAAATATTCGTTATAATTAAATAATATTTTACTTTTTTAACTTGGCTGCCATTCTAACCATTGGTCATTGTTGTAACATCACCATCACCTCGTTTTTGCAGTCTGCTATATAATGCAAGATTTTAAGTTTTCTAAATTTGTATGCAATTTTTTTTTTATTTTATTATTTATACATTGGCTGATATAAATTTGCAGTAGACATTAGACATACTGGATTCACTGCAGAGAATGGGATCTCCTTGGACTTGGGGTGTTTTTGCAGTGTTGTTCAGTGCGTGTTTCCTACAGCCCTTCCCTTCTGCAGACTCTAGCTACTCTGAACTCCTGGCCTGCCTGTAAACGCTGTCTCGAACCAGAGAAATTTTGAACTTCTGTTCCTTTCAGGTGGCAGTGCTGCATTTTCCTTGGGTATATACGTGGAAACACAGATAAGTACTATCTGTGTGAGTTGTAACAATTAATTTGAGGCCCACCAGAAAGTGGCTGTCAGTATTCTTTCAGCTTTCAGCAGTTGTGAGTGATACTGAGAGATCCCCACTGAAACAGTTAGGGGTATTGTGGAGGCTTCTGTCCAAACTATATAAACTTATATATAAACTACTGTTTCTAAACTGATGTTACTAATTAGAAACTACTTGGTAGAAACTAGACAAAAACCCAAATAAAAATCAATCAGTCCAGGAGCAGTGGCATTTAAACCTTTTATTCAATATTTACTCATAGTGAGTAGTGCTTAGTTACCCGTGCATGCTGGTAAATACTTGTTGAAAAAAGACTATCCAGAGACAGCAGAAAGGTTTGCACTATACTAAGTCTGTGTTGAATATAGTTCTCATTTGAAGGTTATTGACATATCTGTTCCATGACAGTTTTGAAATGCTCAGTTATAACCTCAGGAACTTGGAGCAGACTCTTTGTACTAGAAAAAACCCTCCCGGCTCAGTGCTTTTGCATATGCTAATCTCTGCCAAACTCCTCTGAAATGAAAGGCTTTACATGGGCATTTAAAAAAAAAAGCAAACAACTCCCAAACCTTAAGTCAGATCTCTGTATATATCTCACGGTTTAGAACTGGGCAGTGGAGCTGCTAAATAGACTGTATCCTGTTTCTCTTCAGTAGCAGCCCATCCATCTTCAGGTACAGAGCAGCCAGTTTACATGCTTCTGCTGCTTTTCGGCTTTACTTTTTCTACACAGCCTTCGATGGCAAACCCATGTAAGCTAAATATGCACTTGAGCCAAGTAAACCTCACAGTTAGCAGACAATTTTCCTTTTGTCAGCCAGGAGAAAGTTCATTTTCACTGAAGATAAAGTGTTCTTATAGCCTATATATTTTATTTTTCGTGGTTCTTAAGGCAATGCAGACTTGCATGTAAAAAAAAAATATAATAAAAGCTAATGAAAGCAAGGAAAGTTTGCATTTTTGAAAAGGTGGCAGGGAAGTACATTGTAAAGAACTAGGTACATGACCACAGGTGACTTAACTAGTAACTACTGCTCTGAAAACAGTGTTAAATACTTTTTGTTCAATAGCTCCCACTTTACTATGTCCATAACTATACCCTTATATAGCAAGCCTGAAATGATTTTTTTACCTTTTAGTACATTTCTATTTTGTAAGACAACATATACATTATAATAATACAGATACGTATGTTTATATATAAAATTATATAATTATATGTATATACATGCAAACGCACACATTATATGTGTAGAAAAAATTGTTTGGGAGCAATGTAAGTATAAGCATGTAAGTATAAATACTGTAATAGTTTACACATTATTTATACATGTAGCATTTAGTAATGCAAATGTGTGCTTTTTCAGAACATACATTGTTCCTCCCTCAGATCTGAGGACTAAAATGCAGTAAAAGAGCTGGGGTTACAGGGGAGAGTGTTTAAGGAAGCTGAGTGCAGCCATAAATGTTTAGTTGGTTATCTAAACCAAATCTCAACTCTGAATTTTAGACTTTGTCCACCATCAGTTAAACAAAGCACGTATGTCACGAGGCAGGTAGAACTTTCCAGAAGAGAGAAATTCTGTCTTCCCACGGAGCACAGCTTATTCATAGGTCAATGATATGTTGTACTCTATGGAAGTGGAAACCGTGGATCATTTTCCTTTCCACATCCTTAAAATCTGAAGTATTAATCCCAAAAGGAGATCATCAGCCAGTACTACGGCCTGTAGTTTCCGTTGTCACATCAAAACATATATTCCATTGCAAAAGTTGCTCCTAACTCAGAATCAGAACTGCAGCAGATAATGGAAATAGACCCAAACCAGTTATAAATTAAAATCCTCTGGTTTGTTCCTCTTAAAATCCTGTAGAAACTTCGATTAAGAAATCATGAGGTTTGCTTTTTTATTTTAAATTGTGGCAATGTCAGAAGCGGTGGGAGCTGCACCTGCCCACCAAGAACAGGTTTGAGGGGATTTCTCAAGCCAGAATTGTACATCTTATGCTGCTGGGGTGCCAGAAGCACTTGGCCCTGACCCACATTTCCTTCTTCTGACTACTGGAAAGATGATGTGCATGCCATTAGAGTACAACTTGTGTTAATTTATATGACTTAGCTGCTTCTTAACTATAACTAAGCTGCTTCTTGTTGCAGTGCACTTTAGTACCACTTTTATTATGTTAAACGGAAATGAGCTGCATTCCTCTCATCAGCCTGGTTATTAGAGGCAATTAGTGTTTTCCAAAGTAATCGATAGTTCTGACATTGCTATGGCTGTGCTTATGGCTACACTGAAGTCCTAAATCCTTTCACAGCTTTTAGTTTGTCCATATTTCTAGTTGCTTTACAACATGCCCCCTTTCAGCTTTTTTTGATATTCTTTCCACTCCAGCTTCTGGAATTTATATAAAAGCCACGGAGTTTTTTTTCTTTTGAACTGAAGATACTGGGCTGGTGGAATTTCCTTTAACTGGAAGTATGTCTGGGCTTGTGGTTTTATTATTTGCACAGTTTTATATTGTCATGTTTGTTAACCCCCAAGCAGAGGGAATGCTCCATTAATCATGGCAAATGGGCATTTGTTTCATGTCTTTAATTTACATTCAATTCTTTTTCTCACAGTTGAACGGGACAAGGACTTCTCCCACCACCGAAGGCACTACAAAGAATTCCGCTTTGACCTGACTCAGATCCCTCACGGAGAGGCAGTGACGGCCGCCGAGTTCCGGATATACAAAGATCGGAGCAACAGCCGGTTTGAGAATGAAACCATTCAGATTAGCATATATCAGATCATCAAGGAGTATCCCAACAGGTATCCCAATCCTGGCATGGACTCATCACCTGTTGAATTACACCCTATTTGCCTGTCTTATGTAGGGAGGCAATAATTGATCGTAAGCATACACCTGACAAGGCATTGTTGCTTGTGCAGTATTACTTCTTAGGCAACAATAGCAAGCACTGAACAAGAATAAAACTTACCTTAAATGTAATTTATTCCAGGTTTATGTCCAGGTGCACCAAATAATCTGTCCATACACAGAGCAGGTGAGGGTTCATGTTCTCAGCGAGCAAATGGTGGAGTCTCGTGCACAAAGTGTCGAGATTTGGGACTTGCACCGTTCGCTGACACTGAGGCACTGCAAGCCAAGATTCACTTAGCTCCTTAGAGGCAGAAAGATTGTCTAATTTTGATTACTTTTGAAGAAACATGGCTTTTTCGTTTGACAATTGTGCAGAAGGCAATTAAAAGATTAACTCTTGCACTAACTTTAAGATGATGTGCATACTTAACATATGCTGCTCACCGTAGCTGAAAACTAAAACAAATCATAGAGTCATCTAGGTTGGAAAATATCTTTGAGATCGAGTCCAACCATAAACCTAACACTGACAAATCCACCAAGGAACCATGTCCCTAAGTGCCGCATATGAATTTGCACAAACAAATCCCTGAATTTGAGTTTGCAGAGCTCCATATATGACATGTTTCCAAGACTCTACAGGACATCAGTATATTAGCAGATTTCACCAGGCAAAGTAGCTAAGTACCTGAAAATTATGATTGAAAACTAATATCAATTCTAAAATGCTTCTGAAAAAGCTACATAGACCCAAAATATAGGGACTGAAATTAAATTAGTTTATGTCTTTTCTCAGAAAAGGGGAGAAGTGCTATTTTAAGATAAACAAAAACTCTCCTTCATCTCAGAGCTGATTTCTATCCTAGGAAGGTTTGGCAGAAGCAAAGAAAATGTCAGCTTAAACTTGCAGAGTATTAGGGAGGAAATTAAAGCCCCATCACAAGTTAGCTTGAAGGCTGGGCCAGAATTCAAATCTCTTTTCTGCCCACAGAACCTTAAGCTTGTATCCTCCAGGTCATATCCCTGAACATCAAGTTGTAAAATATTTATGGGCATAAACAGGGATTCATTTTATACCAATGGAATCAACAGGAGGGAAAGCACTCATCTTTACAGACTACCTTTCGCTTTCTTGGTAAATTTGGGGATGAAGAAAACAGTGTGGTGGTTTTTTTTTTTGTTTTTTTTTTTTGCCTCTATCTTCAGCTTCCCAAAAATTCTTTTGACATTGGTTCTGAAAGGAACTTATTAGAGGAAGAAGTGAAGCAGGGAGGAACAAAACACATCTTTTTAAAGAGCACAGGTCAAGGCTAAGGTGATGAAAGATTTTCACCTGAGAATTCAGATTTTTTTTTAGGAACTAATGGGAAAAATTAGTTGTTCTAATATTTTTGATGTTTTCTTTTTAAGTTTTTGAGTATTTTCACAGTTGGTGGTGTGTATTCTATTTTAGAGAAAGCAAAACTGTTTACCACTCAGATGAAAATCAATTAATATTATCTGACTTGTTCAAATGGCAACTGCTTCTGTGGAGGCATTAAGCAATGTTTTTGATTTCTTTCGATGCATAAACAGAAATTTATAAATGCTTTATATTTACATTTACAATTATAAAAGCCCCATGTCCTCTAATGGAAGCATGATGCTGAAAGGAGGAACAGGCAATGACATGCCATGCATTTGATTTTGCCAGTGTAACTACAGAAGCTTCAGATCTAGACTAAGTGTTTCTCTCCTGTTGATTTTGACAGTTTTGCTCATATGTAGGAATATTATAGGCAACTGCCTCAGTGGAACAGAATAGGAGAAGACCACAAGCTCTTCACTGTTTAAATTAGAAACAAGAAAATTTTTCAACAAGCCCCTTGCTGTCTCCAGGCAGAACAGACCCCAAGACAAGCTCCTAGGAATGTATTTTTTTTCCAACAAAGCCACACCTTCTGCTTTTGGGCCCAGACTTCACTTGTGATTTTCTTGATTTTGTCACCTCAGGTTTATCATACATATGTACATTATGTTTCAGGTACAAAATCTTTAGAAGCTGCAACTACAGAATGGGAGAGGGAGTGAACTTTGAAGATGGGGAGGCACTGGAACATGTTGCCCACATAAGTTGTAAATGCCACATTCCTGGAAGCTTTCAAGGCCTGGCTGAACAGTGCTTTGAGCCACAGGTCCTTGTGTCCCTACCCATGGCATGGAGTTGGGACTTGATGATCTTTGAGGTCCCTTCCAACCCAAACCTCTCTCTGATCCTGTAATTCTGTAATATCCCACAGTCCTTACTAGTGACACTCCACAGCAAAACTGCTCCTCCCCGCTTTGCTTTGAGCAGGACACACGGGTGTCTGACAGGACTGCAATCCCAAACAAAGTCCTGCTGTGCTTTCAGGCAGGGAGTGCCCAGGGTGCAGGGCTTCCAAATTGCATACTAAGGATTGTGCTGTAGTCTCAGCTATTTTTCATTCTTCTGTCTCTATGGCATCATTGCTACTGAAGTGTGTGTGTTTGGAGTTTGCTGAAGTTCCAGTCTTTGGGATTGAAGGTTTTTATTTGGTCTAAGGAAATATACAACATGGCACATCGCAGGCTGACTTCCTATGGAGCCCTACCATCGACTCCTACCTACCCAGATCTTTTCTCAAGACCAAAGTAAATATCATCCAAAATGCCAAATCTTGGTTCATTATTTGGTGGTAGCATGCCACTGATTCAAGTAAACTCTGAGGGCTCTTCCCACATTAGGGAATGCTCAAGTGGCAGTAAGATACAAAAGCATGCTTCCAGAATGAGGCTAGAGGTAAAACAGCATTATTGGGATGGCCTATTACACCGTAATGATTATTTGATCTGATCAAGAACTGTTCTGGGTTTCAAGGAATATATAGATGGTTTGTTCCACCTTTACTTCCTTAAGGGTCCCAGGAGATGTGGAGCTTCTTAGATGTTCTGCCTTCAGCCTCTTTGCTGAAATACTTGACTGTGGTAGCATTTCTCCTTTAGAAAACTGATCACTGGGGACCAAAATGAAATCACTAAACTTAAACAGCCTCTGTAAAGGTAAAACCAATCAGCTGCATTCTGCCTGAATGTATTCACTGTTGCATTTTGGGCTGTTTACGACATAATGCCTTGGGTTTTTATTATGTGTTGTGGGCTATATTTTAAATAGAAATACTTTTTAAAATTCAGCCAAAATTTGCATCTGTTTTTCATTTTAAGTGTGATTGCATAGAATAAAGGAGAATTTTAAAATTAAAAATGTCACAAAATATGATGAAAAGTTTGAATGAATGACATGAGCTAATGGAGGGACCCTGATCCCAGAGCTCCTGCTGCCTTCTCAGGGGTCAGGTTTTTACCTTGCATCTGTATCAATTGTGGAAGAAGTTGTTATTTTCCCTGAATTTTTTCTCTGAGTTTTACAGACTTTGAATTTCTGTAGTAGCATGCTGTTATGCAGGCTAAATTACTAGTATTGGTCCAGATACATTTTCTCCATTCTTCTATGTGCTCTCAAGAATCAGTTCTGGTTTTCTGTATTTAACCCCAACTATTTTCATTGCATTTGCTGAGTTAATGAGTAAGAGCAATCTTTCTCTTTAAAGTTTATTACCTTAGCCAGATCACTGTACTTGCAGGGAGACACGTAATTGAAATATCAATACCAAAGACACTTTAGTTTGAATTTTTGCTGCAGCACAAAGTAATAAAGTCACATTGAGGAAAAATTTGTCCTTCATAGGAATTTCTGGTCTGGACCATTAGTAGCGCCTTATTCTGCTTTAGCATGAGAAACATTGTGATTTTGAGAACATTTAGTATCAGTCTTGGATTTGGAATTGAAAGACTCTGTATGAGATAACAATTATGTATTCTAGGAGGAAAAAAGACAAGTGTGGAATTATATCATTGTGGTATTGTAGTAACTTGTATTCCAAACACTTTTATAGTTTTCTATTAAATCTACTGAGTGATGCAAAAGTATTTCTAAATAAACATCAGAAAGACTATTACAGTTGGAAATTTTCAGGTTTAAAATTCTGATAAAACTGCTTATTAGGGAAAAAAAGTTGGCATTTAAGACTCCAGAGAGTGCTATTTATGAGCTTGTGGTACGTTGCTAATTTGTTCAGTGCTAGAATAGCAGGTCAGGCTCTTTTGAATTGTAAGATTTTCTTCATGTTAACTCCAGAGGGGGAATGTAGGTTTTCTCCTTGTGTGGTCATTAGCACAGCTCTACTAGAATGGAGGTGATAAGAGTCCAGCAAAAGATTATCCTTCAACAGAAGGAAAAAAAAAAGGTGACTTGAAAAAACAGCCCTTTCAATTCCCTGTTTCTTTTAAAATTACCTTCCTTTATAATTTCTGAGCTCTTTAGCCTGATTTTGCAGATATATCTCACATGTAAATAAACATATGCTTGTCATAGTTCACTTGGTCTTATTTTCTTCATTATTTAGCAACCACAGTTTCAAAAGGTACACTTGATGCTTTTTTCAGTATCAGACATTCTAGGTGCATTTACTCTGTTTACATAAGACAGCAACTTTCTAAGGTGTCATTAAGCACTGTAAGAATACAGTGACAAGACACCAGCAATTTTTAATCCACTTTTTCACACAAAGCCTGTTCTTTCTGTCTCATTCCTCTTTAAGCATGTATTAATTCTGTCTGTAAGGCGACAGTACAATTCCCAGATCTATGTGAACCAAGTCTGCTTTTAGCTGACTTGTACAGTAAAAAACTAGAATAAAACATTCTTTCTTGTATCTTACTGTTTTGACTACTATTTATGGCATTAAAAAATAGGTTTCTATAACTATAGATTTAGGTTTAGAAGGTTAAATGGTGGAAACAGTTTTTAATAATGCATGCTGCTTTGTAGAAGCGTGTAAAATGAAACTGATGAGAGTTAAATATCTTGGGTTTAGTCTGGTCATTGTAGTGAATTATTTGTAATACAGATGATGGTCTGGAACCAATTGTGTCACGAGATATGTGGAAACAGAAAAAATAAATGACCCATGCTAAAAATTTAGTAACACAATTATACTAACTCCCCTGAGCAGCCCTTCTGAATTACTGGAAGATTTCATGGGAACAAATTTGAAAACATACCAGGGAACTGAGGGTTAAAATATAGAATTATATTATTGAATAGATATGTAATTTCTGCTTTGATAGAGAGACTTATTTTCTAAACATCTGCAGTAATAGGAAATGGTCTGAACTGCCATCTATTCATGTTTTGTCACAGGATACAGCTGCTGTCATATGTTATTAACAACAGATCTTTTTAGCAATGCTATGCCTCTGAGTTTTAGTTGAAATTGGGAAGTGATTTTGACATTTTTTGTCTTTTATGCTGAAAAGTTTATAAAAATGAATATTACTAAGGCATTCTAATATTGAAAGATGAATTTTTTTATACACAGCCTCAATTATGGTTTTTGTGTAGTTATATCAGGAAGTTGTGTTTTTCAGATTTTCCAGAGCTATCATTTTTACATGCTGAAACTCATTTCAGAAAGGCCTCTTAGGGGAAATACCTGTATGATGCTTACTTACTACCTGTCAGCTACAGCACGTGCTGTACTGTGTTATAATGAGGATATGTCAAAGGATTATTCATTTGGACTCCAAGAAGTTATTCTCAGCAAGAAAATTAGGGACAAAGCTAATTATATTTGAATGCTTTAACTCTCTATTTTCTTTAACTTAGGGATGCTGACTTGTTCCTGTTAGACACAAGAAAGGCTCAAGCTTCTGATGTGGGCTGGTTTGTCTTTGACATTACTGCGACCAGCAATCACTGGGTGATTAATCCACAGAACAACCTGGGCTTGCAGCTCTGCGCTGAAACTGGGGATGGTAAGATCCAAACTACAGATCATAATGCCTTGTGTGCTCTTGTCCAGCCTTGCTAGGACTTTTGTCTGGATGGCTGTTTTTTAGCTTGACTGGGTGACAGTTCACGGAGAGTTTATCAGCAAATGACACCAATCTTATCCTGCTGTTGATGCGGTCTGCAAGTTTTCTATTATTTTCAATTCTGTAGAATATTGCAATTATAAAACTAACTGAATCAGGTAAAACTGCTTTCAGGATAAGAGCTCCTACATGCAAAATTAGGATCCGTTTTAATGTTCTACCACTGATGATTACATTCAGGAAAGTCAGACGGATTTGCAGAATTTCTTGGGCTGAAGAAAGAGAAAGTTATGAAATAAACCTCAGAGCCATTCAGAAGGTATAGCATCTGTTGATACTGATGTTGAAGAAAGATTAGTGATAGGATAATGTGGGAATTGGTTTTCTTTAATTTGAAAAAAAAAAAAGATTTTTTTAATCTTGAAATGGGTTAAAAATTTGAAATCTTGAAAATTTGGGTTAGCTGAAAATTAGAAAAACCACTATCAGAATTGAATTTTTGAGCTGTGGGGGTTTTAGTACAAATTTACTGGGCTACTGCATTATTCATAGTTATGTTCTTCATTAAATTTGAAAATGCATCTCAGTGCAAAACAATATTTTTAGAAGAAATGTTCTTTACTTAGACTTCTTTAGAAACTAATAAAAAGAGACTTATATACTGTTTTTTCTGTGATGGTTCACTTAATCCATACCACTTTACAAGCAAACTCAGATTTAACTCTTTTTGTCAAAAAGCTTTTTATGTCAGAGGTCAAGGGATCTATGATGCCCGTTAATGTAAACCTTAGCTGACATAATGTTAATGAGTAGCAGAAGAAACCCTGGTGTAAGGATTAATATTTTTTTCTTCTTTGTTCTGGCTACATTTTCTCATTGGTTTTGATCTAAATTCTCCCTCAGGCCCAGCTGGGCTGTGAACAAAGCATCTCATACTTTTTCAGCAAGTGCCCTGGCTGCTGGAGAGTTATGCAAAAGCCGTCCTTTAGGCACGACGCGCAAGAAGGGAGCTGGCAGGCTTGCACCAAGCTCATGGCCATTTCATCTGATGTTACCTTTTGGTCAGAGTACAGCCAGTGCACAACGGGGGCACCAGTGCAAAGCAGACCACGCTGCTGCCTTCACCCAGCCTTCAAAGGCACCACTCCTGAGCCTGGGCTGCATGGGGAGCAGATCTCTTAGGCAGCCTGGTTTAATGGGGCCATTTTAAAGCTCTTACAATTCTGGGGAGGTGACACCTCCGTCAGGAATCCAAATTAGGTGGGCTGGCTTCTGGCCAGCTTTCCTGCTCCAGAATAAACTCCATCCTTGACTTTTTTTTTTTTTTTTTTTTTTCCAGGCGATTTGAACACAGAAATTGTTGAAAATTAAATATCCATGAAAGGCATTCATTAAGAAACCCTGCAACCAGCAATTTGTTGGTTCTAGCCTCAAAATTACATCCGTTTGGTAAACTACAGGAAAGTTTGTAAAGGAAACCTTTAGGTTAATACACTGAAGAAATTGTAAAAGAATAGCTCATGTAAATATTTCCCCTGTCCTGCTCCAAAGATCAGAAAGGTGATAGATAATTTTCTATTTTAAATTCCAAAGCCACAAACAGCTTTACCTTTTGCACCTTACTTATTTGACTTATGAAGGAATTTGCCTTTTCCCTCACTTTCTATTCCCTTTTTCACTTTATTTGTACAAGGAGTTCACTTCTAGGAACCAAAGTTTTCAAAACTATAGGATAGGCCTATGCTACACCATTCAGCTTAGCGCAAGCAAAATCATCCTTTCATGCTCTTACAATTTTGCTCTTAAGGCTTTGATTATTTTTATTGGGTTGCTGTTACTTCTGGAAGCTATTAGAAACATCAGCAGTTGAATGACACGTTTGTGTACAGACGGAACATGAATTTTTATACGACTCGGTATGTAGCGGACTCGGTTCGTAACCCAGAGAACTCCACCCACCTTTCCTCCAACCAGGTCTCTGTGAGAGCTCAGGCACTGGCTCAAATCAACTGAAAAACTTTCCCTTGGCTCCAGTGAACCTCAGGCCATGCAGGTCTGAAGCACATTTCTTCGTGCCTCCAGCTGTCAGCCGAGTTTACAGGAGGCATAGTACTTCTGTCCCCATAACTGAAGAGATATTTATGATAAGACCTGATTCATTAACGTTTCAATTGCAACAGATCATTAAACTAAATGGGATTTTGTTAAATAAGAGGATCCTTGATTGAGTTATTCCAGTACTACACTGGGGTCCTGGATAATCGAGTCTGTAGATACATACTGATTTTTAGATTTATTCATACAGCCAATATGGGGCATCAGTAGTTGCTGAGACTCCAGGGTACTATTATATTGTTATCACTACCATTAAAAGTAATCTTTCTTACAGTTATCTATCAGAGATATTTTTGGCAATTACTTGTGTTTAGATATATTTCTTTGCGTCCCTGAAGATGGTGCACAAATAATAATAATATCTACATAAGGAATAAAAAAAATTTTGCAACTAATATAACAGTGTGAAGAAAAAATGTTTGGAAAAATGTCTGGTTGTTGTAATTCATATTTTTCCCCCTTTGAAAATCCTGAAAAAAGTACAAAAAGCCACATGACACTGGAATGTGTTTTATTTTTTCTTTAGGACAGTATTTGGTATCATACGTCTCATTTTAGCATGAAATGTAGACTTTTTCTCTTAATGGGACATTTTATTTTGAACAGTAAGAATAAAGGTTTGCATGACACATATGGAAGCTGTCAACATGTAATGCACTCTTTCCCTGGGGCTGTGGTAAATTAAGGATCAGGTTTTTTTGATTCTCTTTTTTAATGTATCCTCAACATTCTGCAGCATCCCTTTTTGGCTGATTCCCTAATTTTGACACCAAAACTCTCTGTTGTGATTCAGATGAGAGGTGATCTTTTTCACGCTGATGGATGCGCGGGTGTTGGACGAATTGCAGCATAAAATCAATACAGATGCACAAACAATTTGAAAACCTCCATGCAACCTCTTCCTGTATATATACCACATGTCTCCTAAGACTTAAAACTTGTTCTAGTGAATCAGCACCTTTTATTAACATTTAGCATTTTTATAAGTGGATGCTAGCAGTGATCTGAACATCTCTATTGCTGAAGTGGTACAAACAGCTAGAAGAGTAATCTTTTTTCTATTTTTGTCATTGCTGAGGAGAACCTAGAGTTGTTTACAGAGAATAGAAGAGGGACATAACATGCAATCTGATTGGTGGTGATCCCCAGAATAAAATGGATTCCAAATACACAGCTCTCAACACAATATCTTGAGTAGCCCCACTACTCAGTAGTCATATAGTTCTGTGCCTTTTTTAGATTACTGCAGCTCTCACTTATTTTCATCTACCAGCACACCAGAGGGGAAGTGTCTTCTTTGAAAAAACAAAGATTGAGATTTCTGTTACCACATAGTCCTGTGGAAGGTTTCTTTGGGCTTTATTGCTTTTTGAGGTGGCCAGGCAGCAGAAACCCTCAGCTCCCTGACTCTGACTCTTACTTCAAGTATTTTTTTTTCCCCAGAGCAAAAGCAAACTTGAAAACACATAGGTTACTCAATCCAAGTGAAACCTGTGGAAGGCTAATTTCCCCTTGAGCATGAATTTGGGCATCCTCTGATGTGTGTCCCCTGGAAGGGGGTTTGGTTCTTAACCCTACATGCTGCATGAAGGATTGGTGAAGTTTTTCTCCAGAGATGTTGGAGAAGAAACTAAAAAATGCAGTCTCTCTTTTTTACCCTATCTTCCTTTTAGCCTGGATCTTCTAAGGTCCCTTTCTCCAGCTAAGCCTTTAGAAAGGCAGCTCTCAGTGTGGCATGGAGTGGCTGGTTTGCTTTCAAGCCATGACAACCTGTGGCAGCACTCTGGCCTCTTCATATACTTGGCTGTATATTTGATGTAGTTTTGGCCTCATTACTACACTAAATGTTGTGAATTTGTCCTACAGCTGCCCCTAGACCACCTTGGCACCTTGCTTACATGACCATGGTAGCTATCAAGGACTCTGGAGGATGCTGCTGAGTTGTTACTTTTAAACCTCTTGATGGATTTGATATTTATAAGGCAAAGTATGAGGAGCAATGTCACCTTCATTGCCGTCCCTACAGTGGGAAACTTAGGAAATATGTATTTATATTAATATATATATATATGGACTTTGGCAGGCAATAGCTCTGACTAAATTCTGGGCCATCTGGAAGCCATATAGCCATGTTAGCACAGCACTGAACCCGAGCTAATACATCCTGCCCCTCAGCAGGTTTTATTAGCTTGGGCTCAAGCACTGCCTAAGTACAGCTACATTCATTTCTGGTTTAGAGCTGACTTTGGTCAAAATTGCACTGGTTTTGAATTAAACATGCTCAGCAGTACTGTGGTGCGAAACAAGCTGGAGGGTGAGTCTCCCAGTTTCCAAAACAGGATGATCCCATGACAGCTGTCCCCATGAGAAAGGTCCCAGTGCTGCAGTGCTGCCTCGAGGTTCAGCTGACTGTGGTGGAGCTGGCACAGGATGCAAATGCAGCAGGAGCACACTCCCACCCTGAGCAGAGCGGATGACCCAGTTCCAGCAGCCTTTAATTTGCTCAGATAGGTGGAACCACGGTTTCCAGCTGGGTCACAAGCACGGTCCGCGTTGTGTCGGCTTGTAGCAAGCAAGCACACCCTTTGTTAGGAAGGGCACACTCACTTTGAGCAGAAGGGCCAAGGAGGGGAGGGAAACAAGCTCCCACCCCTTATCCTACCACTACTGGTGTGCACTGGTCCTGGCTGTACAGCTGTGCAAATCACCCCACACCCTGCTCCCCAGACAGATGAAGGATACAGCTGCTTCTCAACACCATTAGTTTAGAGATAATGGCATTTGTGTTCCATTCCATTCAGAAGGCTTTTATCCATTTTATTCTT